TGATGTTGCTGGAACTGCTGCATTTGGGCTTGCATTGCCCGCATGCACTGCATCAAGTCATCAAACTGGTTTTGGCTAGTCGCCAGAGGGACAGCAGTTGGTTCGGCAAAGGTTGTCTCGATAGGGAGAGGAAGGGGAACATTCACAGGTGCCACCATGTTTTGTGCGTTGAGGCTAGGGATTCCGTCCGTCAATAAGGGGGACGATGAACTGTCCTATGCACACAGTGGCGGGTTGGGGGTGTTCCCCTACAACATTCAAGTTGGCGTTGTGCCTGCGGCTGCTGGGAGAAGCCATGGAAGCTAAGGTTTCTTTGAGAAAGATAGAGAGAGAGAGAGAGGGAGAGTTAAGGGTTAGGGAAGGCTTTTTGAAGTCTTCCCACAGACGACGCCAAATGATGGTGCGCAATCCGGTCGGTCCTAGCTGCCGGTTACCTCGTTTCTGACGAGATCGGAGGTGCCTGAAACAAGGAAGAAAATGGAGACTTCCTGGGAGGAACCCGGTTGAAACACTCCGAAGCTCAAGTTAGTGCTCTTCAAGAAGGCAAGGGAAAATGAGGAATTCTAAGACCAGAAAACGCAAAAATCACGTACCCTCTTCTTCGTGAGATGGGGGCCTTTTATAATCACCCTGTACACTTGCTCCCATGCCCCTGCTAGTTCGAGCATCATTACCTTTGCCAGATCGGGTCACCTCCTCTGCCAGGTCGGGTGTCATTTCCTCTGCCAATCACCAGTTCGGGTGTCATAACCTCCACTGCCAACTGTCAGGGCCGCCTCTGCCCGTCTGAGATGGCGGTGGCAGGTGGTCGTTGGATGGCAGCTGTCATGTGTTGGACCTTTAATTAGTTCAGGTGTGCCGCCTCCGTGTACGGGTCTCCTGGTCGTCAGGTACGATTGTTCAGTCAGGATACTTGGAGCCGAAGTGGTGTGTGAGGTGAAGTCTTGAGCTCGGGTAGAAGTGTGGCCCGAACTGCCTCTGGGGGCAGTTCGGGTCTTTGCCTTTTGTGCTTTTAGGCTCAGGACCTCGAGGGGAGAGCTCAGTTTCCTCCTTGGGGAGCTCGGGTTGTAGGTTCCCCCTTTGGGGGAGCTCGGGACTTTTTGCTCAGAGCCCGCTGTCGTGCCGAGCTGGCGCTTTTGCTAGGTCACTCTTGGTTGCTTCCACGTGTCGTATGGCCAAGGGGTCTGGTCAAATCTTCCTCCATCAATGTCCATGCCTTGCCCTGGCCTTAATTATATATTTTTATATATTTAAATGTAATTTATATTAAATGTATATTATCTATATATATATAAACATATTTAAAACATTGTTTAAAATTTAAATTTTAGCACTTTTATTTATTTTAAAGTAAATATATTTTTCAAAAAAAACTATTATCTAAAAAAATTTCAGGGATTCCCCGCGGGGAACTCATCCCCGTCGGAGATCGGGGATAGAGGACAAATTTTATCCCCAACGAGATCGAGGACAGGGTGGGGGGGTTAATTTCATAATTGAGGGCGAGGAGAGGGAATATGATCCCCGCCCCGTTGCCATTCCTAGTGATAGCAATTCATTTTTAATATTTGTTATGATTTATGATATGGGTTGTTTGGTCGAGATCAATAAGTACGTACACACTATAACCCATTAGTTGTTTTACGTTTCCAAAGCATGAAAACTAGGTAAATGTTTCATTCCCAAATGACTTTTTTTTTTGGCAATAACAATGAATAGGTAAATAAATTGGGAAGAAATAGATTAAGAGGGAGTTGGAAGCTGAGACTCCGATGCCGGTCTAGCGGAATTGGTCTCAACTAGGGGTGTCAATTGTATTCAAGAATCCAATTTCGAATTCAAGATCTGACATAATCAAATCGAATTCGGATATGACCCGATTCAATTCGATAAATATCCAAATTTGATCGATTATTTAATTCTTATATACAATATATACAAATTTTAAATGTTTTATATAATTTATATATATATATATATATATATATAATTTATATACTTGTATAGAAATAAAATATTTATTAATTATGTACAGTAATTAATTAGTTGAATTCGAATCGATCGAATATTTAATTGGATTCAAAATCGAATATTAATTTTCAATATCCGTCATATATCAAATCAATTTTTTTAATCATATTCAAATTTAGATATTGCTTGATCCGAATTGAATTCGATCTGTTTACACCCCAGTCCCAACTTTCAATGATAGTCCCAACAAGTAAATAAGATGTGGAGCTGATGAACGAGAGCAATGTGTCTATTAATTATAAACCCTCTTCGCTCTTCAATCTGCAGCACAACACAGTGCACACTGAGCCATTGATCCACACTCGCTTGGCTCAGGGCTGGCTCCGGTGAGTTCACATCGGCCCCACCCCCACCCACAAGGGGGCGCCCCCGCGACATTCCATAGCACATCCTAGCTGTGTATTGGGAACGTCTCCCATGTCTTATCCTTTCTTGTATCTATCAACAGATCTTTCGATACACAACTAGGATGTGCTATGGGATGTTGTGGGGGGCTGGTGTGAACTCGGCTCCGGTGACCTTATTGTTACCCAATTGACTTCAATAGGACTTGGGATATTCTCTTCATACTTCATTTATGTATTGATAAATGATAGAAAATACATTTTTTAATACATATTTACATTGATAATGAAATGTAAAATACATCAATCAAAAACTTACTTGAATGCAAATTTACTTATTTTTTATTGATGTACTTTTACATCTCATTATCAATGTAAATATGTATTAACAAATGTATTTTCTATCATTTATCAATATATAAATGTAATATTACCAAATAAATGAAAAAGTGAATAAGAGTGCAAATTTATCATGAACCAGGATTTATACTCCGTCCAGTTGTATAGTTTCCAAACGAAGCCTTAGGGGTTGTGCTGCAATTGTACAATCCCCACTTATGGGATATCATTATGTGTTTCACCTCATAGATAATTTAGTCAATTCACACCATTTTGGAGGGAAAATTGGACTCCAACCACATTCTGATGCCCAAATACTTGAATATGCGTTAACAACCAACCACATGTGTGATGCGACCAGTACACGTGGAGGAAGCAAATCACACTTGGAAACTGTTACAAGATCCATTTTCTCCATACTATTGGCCCCCTCCTCTCTAATCTCGTGAATGTATACACAACTCATACTCTATTATCTTGCTGTATCTACTTATTTATCTCTTGTTGATTTGACTGTCATATCTTTGCCTCCACAACATGGTTTTTGAACCGTCATTGATTTAGACCGTCGGACCGTTTGGCCCAAAAACCGTTTAAGCAATCAGTTYCATTTTATCTCAAACCTGGTTTTGGGTAAAAAACTGTTAAATTAATCAATGATCTATTAATCAGGGTGGTCAAACCATTGATCCGTTTAAACGGTTTTTGATAATTTTTTAGTTTTATTTTTCTATTTTGTTTTAAATCTTTGTTAAAATGGACTATCTGTTTGAACCGAACTGAATGGTCAAACTATCAATCAAAAAAATGGTGACCAAAATAATTTCATTTCTGGATCATTTTTTAAAACCATACTTCACAAAGCCACTCCAAATACTTTTTTATGATTGTTTGCGACCTATGAAAGGTAATACCAATCATCAGGCAACCTTCCTCCATCCAATGTTCGCAGGCCTTCTTCCCAGTTTCATATTGGAATCCTCTCATTTCCTTTCTTCATTCTTCCACTATTTTCCCCTCATCCTCTTCTTTCTCTTCCCCTCTATTGTCATCATTGGTATTAGCAGCGACAAATTATTACCTTCTTCTTCTTCTAACAGAGAAATATTAAAAATCTCAACTGGTTCCAATTCCAATCTCTAATTGAACCAAACAATAATAATAATTAGTTATTTGAAATCAGAAATCTGCATTGAGCCTGTCCGTAATTTTCCGTTCTTTTTAACCCATGTCTCTACTGGTACTGTGTTGGTAAAATGGTACTCTCTCTCTCAATGCCGCTTACCGGAAGTTGGAGTTGGAGTTGGTAACGTGTAAGGCTTCTCTAAGATCAGATATGCGGTCAATAAACGCTCCCAACACTGTCCTAACAAGGTCTTGCATACTTATAAATTTACAATGAATTTTGTAGACATTTTTTTTGTTGATAAGGGACATTGGGATGGGAGATTGCAGGTTACCTGTTTTCGAGAAAAAAAAAACACTATAAAAGGGAAAAAAACGGAAAATCTGAAAATAGATTTTCAAGAGGGATCCGCTAATGTTGGGAGCGTTAGTTGGGAGCATATACGAACTTGCAATCTCTCTCGAACACTACTAGTTCGCTTGCTAGCTATCGAGATAGGGTTCCCTTCCTTAACTCCTGGGAGGAAGAAAGTAGAAAACATTAGCCGAGGAAGGTCCGAGAAATGGCGATCATGTCTACTTCCCTCGCATCTCAACTGTCTGGCTCCAAATGCGCAATCTCCTCTTGTCCGCAGTTCTCCGGATTGCGTCGCTCCGGCTTGAGCTTGAAGTTGGATCAGTCGCACACTTTCTCAACCACCCAATCCTTCTTTGACCATGTCAATTCTCATCTTCGTCTCTCCGATGGTCGACGAGGTTGCAGAGGTGTCATTACAATGGCCGGTTCTGGGAAGGTGGATATCTGTGCGTGTGTGTTTTGGTTTCATTTCTCCACTTCAAGTTATTGTAAAAACTTATGCTTCATATGTGTATTTATGTTTGTCTGTTGAGATTTTCTGCAAACTTTTGTTGGATGATGGTGTATGATTATAGACTTGGAGGAGCTGAGTTAGTTTTCTAGGACTAGATGACATCTATGATGGAGCACATCTGTATTAGATGGGGATTGTTCTCTTTAAGTGGATGTGGATGGATTATGCGGCTTGTCTTTCACTTTTAACTTGCTTGCTATTTGTCCTTTTTTCCTTCTTGCTTTCCTGAATTTTCCTTTCCTCAAATTTTAGACTTTAGTGGGTTCTCGTACTATTGCAGTAATATAGAAATAATTTGGTTACAAGGTTATTTCTTTTTTCATCTAATCCGGTTTGTTTTTCTTAAATCGATGGGGACTTCTAGTCTGAAATGTCTGTTTGGAGGAGCCGGATTGAATAATTATTCAGCATGGGAAGAAATAGGAAGACTTCGGGATTCTTATAAGGTCATAAAGTTCTGATTCACAGACTTCACAACATAGAGAGAGGAGATTGCATCCTCTCCCTTTGCAGTTGTTGAACATTATAGACTGCATATTTGTATGTTGATCAGTTGAATGTTCTGTTTTATGAAGCTCAATACATACAATGCATTATAGAATGTGCATTTCTCTCTTGATTGATTGTGGGGTTTTTGTTTTATGAAGAGAAACCTGGGTAATTTAGTTATAGTAATGATCAGCCAAGTCTGTCGACCTTTCTACAAAAAAAAAAAAAAAAACTGGTTCAGTTAGCATGCATTTGAGGCTCTAAGTCAAGTTAAATGAAATATTGTCATGGCGGAACATACAATCTTTACTTGATGAAACAGAAACCAAAAGAAGTAAGTCAAGTTATAGTATCAACTACCAAGTGTTGAAGATATATTGGTAAACATATACAATCTAAGTGTGGTGGGACATTTTAATATTGGTAAACATATGCTCTAGATGGTAGGACATTTTAATATTGGGACCAATCAGGAGTGTGACTCTCAAAAAGACAGAGCCGTCCTTTTAGAAGACTGAAAATCTCATGGACTTTAGTTTCATGAACTTGACTTTTCATGAGATTCCAATGATGCAATTGCTTTGGTATTTGATATTAGGAAAGCTTTGGAGGCTTTCTTACATCTAATATATTCAGGATAGGACCACATTAGGAAGCATTTTGTTCTCTGTACCCCTTTTCTTAAGGCTGCAACTTGGGTCGGGTTGGCCCGAACCCAACTTGAAAAAGTTGGGTTGGGTTGGGCCGGCGTGATGCTCGGGTTAGGGTTAGGGTTGAAACTTATGAACTCGACTTTACTTCAGGTTGGGTTAGGGTTGACCCCTCGGGCAACCCGAACCCAACTCTGTGGTACATATCATATATAAATATATGTTATATATATGATATATCACACTATCATTTATTTCTTTTAAGATAATCACTTCACTTAATCCTAATTGGAAATACTAAAACCTTAATAACAGATTTTGTGTTTTTTGAATATTTTATTCTTGATCTCCTCTCTGTTGTTTGCCACCCATAGCTTGCTGCCCATAAAAGATCTATTATAAGTCATAACTCATAATAAACATATCATATATGAATATATGTTATATATATGATATATCATACATTGATTTGTTTAGATGCATGATAGTTGTATAGCCCCCACCACATACTATCATTTATTTCTTTTAAGATAATCACTTTACTTAATCCTAATTGGAAATACTAAAACCTTAATAACAGATTTAGTGTTTTTTTGAATATTTTATTCTTTATCTTCTCTCTGTTGTTTGCCACCCATAGCTTGCTGCCCATAAAAGATCTATTATAAGTCATAACTCATAATAAACTATAGTCATTCTCATTTCAAACACTTTTTTTTTCTAAATTTTGTGCTTAAAGAACCAATAAAAACATCAACAAACAAATATTAATAAAATATAGGATTAATATATGTAGTGAAACTTGAGTTAAGATATGAGATTAAGAAGTTCGTACGAGATTTTAAGGGATGGGAAGAAGGTTGGGTTGGGCCCAATCAGAACCTAGCCCATCCCGAAGTTGACTTTGGGTTGGGTTGGGTTGAGTTAAGGTTGAAGGAATTTAGTTAGGGTTAGGGTTAGGGTTGGGTAGGTCAGGTTGAAGGTCGGGTTGGGTTAGGGTTGGCGGTGCAACTTGGGCGGGCCCAACCTGAGCCCGAACCGGCCCAAGCCAGAATTTTACACGGGCTGGACTTGGATTTTCGGTCCTTGGGCTGGGCTCGAGCCTAGTCCGTAGGTAACCCGAGCCCGGCCCAATTATATACATTTATACATATATGTGTATATATGTAAATGTTGCATACATATTTACATATATATATATATATATATACATATACATATACATACATACATACATATTTGTATAGATATTTTGCATACATATTTATATACATACATAACTATATGTATATATATTTGCATAAATACATTTATATATGTATAATTTTAGAGTGGGTTCATTGACCAACCCGAGCCCGGGCCCGGCCCCGAGCCCAACCCGAGTGCATCAAATTACAGGGTGGGCTGGGCTCGGGTTGGGAAAATCGGGCTTGACCTTGGGCTCGGGCCTTAAGCCCAAATTGTAGGGTCGGGCCTGGGGTGACCATAAACCCGGCCCAACCCGCCCGACTTGCACCCCTTGCCTCAACTCGACCTAACCCAGTCTGACTTGCAGCCCTACCTTTTCTCCTATTTCTGGATGGGCAACAGGTAAGTGGTCAGAATGCTGAATGTGTGATTTGCTCTAGGGGTGTCAGTTGACAGCTTTGCTTGGGTTAGAGGTGGGATCCTGTTTGGGTAACATATCATTGGGTCTTGGAAGGGGTGGACTGTGGACTGGATATGGCCCTTTTGCATTTTCTTGCACAAAGTGGCTGCTCTCAGAATTAAAGCCATGTTCTCATGCTTGTTAGCCTGGGATTTTATCATTCCATCATGGATCAGCCCTTAACAACCTGTGATTTACTAATGCTATACAAAATGCAAAAGCCATGTTCTCATTTGGAGCTCTATATTATTGTTTTATTTTGGGTTCCTGAGTGTTGCAGATTGTACTTTATGTCTTCCAGCACCTGATCTTTCACTTTTCTTGTCATTGCAGTTTTTCGTTGGTGGGAACTGGAAGTGTGTAAGTGTCTGCTATGACTTGCATGATATTCTCATTGTTTTGTCCTTATCTTGCTATTATATTGTTATTCGTCTAGTCTTAATGATCCTACCTGCTTTCAAGACCTTACTCAGTTTTGTTTTGTTTGTTTGTTTGTTTTTTTTTTTTTATAAATAGAATTAAAGAGCTGCAAATAATCATCATTTACTTGATATTCTACTCTTGTAGTGGAATTTATTTAGTTAACAGCCTATATGGTGGGTGGATGGAGAGCGTGTTCAAGTGAGCCATTACTGATGATACTCCCCCAGAATAAAACAAAGTGAATATATTAGATGGGTGTGATCTAATTTCTTTTTGTAAATGTAAATGAATTGGAGTATTTTTTTGTCAATATGATGAGTATCCTTCACTAAATTTTCAGGGAAATGTTAAAACGGAAAATGCAATTAAGTAGAATACAAATACAAAATAATAAAGGATTGACATGTGAACAGGAGAGATTAGATAACCAATGCAATGAAGGCATCCACATGATCTGAATGGGTTTGTAAATGGCACGATAACACTTGGATCACTTTCTCAAGGGTCTAGCATCCTTGATTCCAGCATCTTGCTGACATTCTTTGGTCTTGTTTTATCCAATTCCAAGTCACCAAGTGTTCAGAAGCTTCAGCAGTTTATACTTTGTGTTCTTATTGTATCGATTAGAGTTTGAATTTGATGTAGTAGAAGATCAGCAAGTTGAACAGCAGATTTGATGTGTAGTGAAAATTTCAAACCAGATCCAGAATAGATCTATGAAAGCCGGGGGGATTCAAAGAAGAGATAAAATAGCCTAGGAGTTATGCTTGCACTTCTCTAGGAGTTGGCACCTAGAGGAGTCTGCACCATCAAGAATGTTAATTCAAACCAAATAAGAAGCAAATATTGCTCAAAAATCTATAATCCATTGATTGAATTATCATAGCCCTCAATGTGATGCCTAGTCGATAAGGTGCTCATGGAGGCTCGCCTTGCTTAATTGCTAAGATAATTTTCACACGGTGCTATTGGATACTTTTATATTCTTAAATTTTTGACATCATAATAATAAAATATACATTATTAAACTAAATCATTCAGTTTAAGTTAAAATACTAGTTTATTTTTATAATTTTTCTCATTTGTTAAGGTTCAATCAACATGTATACTGCCTTGAATCATCAAATACTTCAGAACTTTATCTGATAAGCATGGAAGTGCTCAAAATTTTATCTAATTAACACATGGAGCACAATTCATCATCATCTTCGATCAGTAACCGAATTTTCGTTAAAAGATAAAAATATAGAGAGCACAAAGTACAAAGAGCAGGCAGAGATAAAACCTCTTATCTCCAAATCACTACATCTCTAGTTTACAAGATAACCCGAAACATTTGATTACTCCCAACCTCTTGTTTTACTAAGGAATCAGCCATGCTGTTGGCCACCCTATGCATCCATTGAACTTTTACAACTATGCCCCTAGTCAACCATTTAAACCTTTTCAATTCATTTGTGTACATCCATAAATCACTTCCTGTTTTTTTTTGAGGAGAGGTAAAGTATAATTTCATTATATAAAAAGGGTCCCTCTACAGCTAGTGGCTGTACAACGGGAAAGTACAAAACCAAACACTAGACCACTATCCTATTTGTGTTTACAAATAAGATTTTCATACTCAAAAAGGGATCTGTAATCTGATCTGTTCATTCTAAATTGAGCTGATGACCAGGAAAACAGTTTCCTCACTATTTCTTTTTTGCCATACATCCTCAATTTGACAACTTTTGTTATGAAAAACTCTAGAGTTTCTCTCTTGCCATAATATCCAAAACATTGTTCCTGAAATCATTTGCCAAATGACTTTCCCTCTCTTGCTTGAGCCCCTGGAGGTGCCACCCTTTCAAAAAGTATTTTACCAATGTTGGGTAACAACTATTGAAAGCAAATAGCCTGTACACTTTCAACCAGATGTTATAAGAGAAGTTTCAGTGCAATAACATGTTATTCATTGATTCTTCCACCCATGTTATAAAGTACACATTCTGCTGAATCAATCCCTACACCTCTAGATAATAGATTATCCTTAGTAAGGGTCTTATTTAAGTAGGTATACCAGATAGAAAAGCTACCTTTGAGAGGATGTATTTGTACCAGATTATACCCATATGGTACTCCTGCTCTTATTCCTGAATTAACTTGTTATAAAAGGATCTTATAGTAAACTGCCTAGATTTCTCTTCCAACCACAATCTTTTGTCTTCTCTGCTAGGATCAATGTGCATATTATAGAGCTTCTGAAGCAATCCTGTGAAAGGTTCCATCTCCCAATCATTTAAAGCTCTTCTGAAAATGGTATTTCATACTCTTCGCTTCTGTGAATCTCCTTCAGTTATCTTGTTATGCACATTCATATCCTCACTTTCTGAATTCATTCCATAACTGCCTTTATTTCAGCTTTCAATGAATCTCCAACGCTAATCAATCCTGAGTATAACGCTACCACATGTCCCAACTCATTTTTCAATATGCCTTCAATACATTTGATATATGTGGGGCTAGGACATTTTTTTTCTTCTTTTACCCTTTATTTTCTTTTATTCTTTTCCTAGGACAAAAATAGCAGCCCAACCCTTATATGTTTTGAATTTCTTTTCTACTTCCTTTTTTTTTCATGAATATGTTGATTTTCTATGTTTCAAATGAAGCTTATACATTTTTTATGAAGATTTTTTGATGAATAGTAATAAGTTTATTGATTCAGAAGCAAATTAGAGTGAGTTCATACATCATCCCAACGAGAGGCGCGAGCTACAGCCCCTCCTTGAAACTTACAAGTAAACTAGGAAAGAAAAACAAGAATCACAACTGAGCCCAAAATAATTCTTCCCTATTTACCCCTTGCTTAGCTAACACATCTGACAAGGTATTTGCT